TAGCTGTTTATAAACTTTTTTAAAGCAGTCAAGCCTGCTTTCTTGAGAAATGTTTCATTCACTTCCAAGATGTAAACAAAAATATTTTTACTAGTACTAGTAAAGTTTTTTGAATACTTTGCAAACATCTGATGACCCCAACAGCCAGCAGTTGCAACAAGGAACGTTCAACGTCCCTGATCGTCGGGTGATGTAAAGGGGGCTCACCACAAAACGGCTTTGCACTCTTGCTTCTTGTCAATTCATTGCGCAGTGCGGCAGAGCTTGTCGATACTGCACGGGCTGTATAAGAATGTACCCTTTCCACTGGGTGAAAAAATACTTAGGCCTCTGAACGAACTAAGTCTGTAGTAAGTGCTCATGCCCAGTGAGCGGTATACCCCGTATTCAAGCGGAGGTCGCACATTCTTGCTTCCAGTTTTCTAAAACATTTGTTTAGATTTTCTAAATTTCGGGTTATTTCAACGTTTTCTGAAGAAGAATTGCGCTGCAAATGAGTTGTTTTCTGATTTTTCTGAAAAAGCGTTTATCAATCTTTCCTTAAATGAAAGGAGTTAAAATGGCTACTGGAACTGTTAGCGTTAAAACCTCAACTGTGCTTTTAAAAAAAAACTTCAGAATTAACAAAACACGTACCCACTATGATGAGCATTATCTCAGCATTTTCGTGACGTTTTTGTTCTTTTTGGGCGGGGAACACGCATTTTTAGAGGGATAAGTGGACCATTTAGGTGAAACATTTTAGTAGGGAAACTAAAGCATGATGTTCAAAAACATACTTGAAATATAGTAATTTCGACCATAACCAACCAGTTCAATTTTTCCGTCTCTCCCTTATCTTCACCTACCCACCCCTCCCCCCCCTCAAAAGAGCGTTTCGAGAAAAATACGAAAGTGAAAAGGGAAAGGAAGCGCCGTCCCTTTTCGTCTATCCCCAATCCCCTTCTCTATTCCCTTTTTTCTTCTCTCTCACTGTTTATTTTACAACTAATGTCGAGATGAAATTGTCATTGAGAGATCTGCTGCTAGAAAGTAAGCCCTGGCAAGATTCTTGGGGGATCATGAAAAATTTTTTCTAAAGAAGAAACGAAAGATGCATATGCATGTAAATTTTACAAGTGCAAATAAAATAGGCAAAAAATCAAAACCCAAAAAATCCATACTGCTTTCGACGAAATCTCTGGACCAAACACTAACTCCACCCCCCCAAAAATTCCTTGCTCATACTCAATAACCAGAATGCATTAAATTGTCAAACAGCAACAAAAGAAGTTTGATTATACTTAATCTGGTAGAATTGTGCAGCTGGCATACTCAAGCTCTACTACCCCAATCTTCAGATTGAATTGAATACCCCCCAAAAAATTTCTGCTTCAGTCAAGGCACCCCAGTAAATACCTTCCAAATTCTCTTATCCAACAAAATACTGGAATAGAAGTTTCAGACACTCTAAAATCCTTGACCATTCCCTCCCCCCCATGAGCCAACTGTTAAGTGGGTTTTCAAAGAACCTTCATACTCAGTCATTTTAAAATATGGATTCTGGTCCAACTCTGGATCGAATTTTCAACCAATGCGCTGGATACCGGTCTCCTGCTGCCAAAGTTAACCCTGAAGATGTGGGCTCACTATCAGGGGCACCCAACGAGGATATAGTTCAAAACCACTTAACATAGCATTGTTGAACGTATTTTAGTATTCAAACGGTAGATATAGGCATATTTTTATCCCCTAAAAACTTTTCATCTGTTCGGATTTCCTAGCTGAAAGTCTAGTGATCCGAAAATTATAGGGATAAAAACTTACCTTCTCGAAAATTTCAGCCAGGAAAAGGCTCCCGAAAATTCTAGGTGGTCTTTTTTAGGGTCAAAATCCGTTAAAAATGGGTAATTATACCATTTTGTAGATGTTCGAAAATCCTAGGAGAGGCAGGCAAGCAAGAAATTTTACAACAAATGCTCCGAAAATTCTAGATCTAAAATCGTCTTCCGAACAGATATTTTCCCGAAAATTGCCGTTGGGTGCCCCTGTCACTATCTTAGCAATTTACCGTAAAATGTAGGAGTAAAAGCTTGTGACCAGTTTATGAGAATGCACTTCTTTAAGAAATCCAAATGCAAACTGATTTGGCATTAATTTAGTGAACTCCAGAAATGGATTTTGAAGTGTAAGAATCAACAGATCAAATCTAAATATTCAGGATCTGTACATCCAAAAAAGTACACCTGCAGAGTGGTTTTCAAAATGAAAATATGACATCAGTCGCTTCCCGCTGCCTCACACCAATATTTTGCGCACACTACAGAAGCCATTTTTGGATCTTTGGTTTAATCTCAATTCTCAAAGAATCGGAGATCAAAATTATAATCTTGGATTCTCCCAAACAACTGCATCCTTCTCCCTTTTGATAAGTCCTAATAGTGACCAATATCAATTTTTCCTATATTCATATGTCATTAAGAAAAAAGGTTATACAAATTACAAATTAACAAAATAATCACCTTTTATCAAATTCCTCAATCAATTCTTTAACGAAATGTTTGGAGTTCAGTCTGGAGAATTTGTATGTTGATACTGGGGCTTAAAGGGTGTAATGATGCCACCATCAACATAAAGGAACAGATAGGCTGTTTATTCATAATACACATCAGGCAAAAGAAAACTTTGGCTATAATAGGAAAGAGGTAGTGTATTTTCAAATTGAACAAAATACAAAGCTAGTTTAGCTGTTTATAAACTTTTTTAAAGCAGTCAAGCCTGCTTTCTTGAGAAATGTTTCATTCACTTCCAAGATGTAAACAAAAGTGTTTTGGTGCATAGAAACATGTTGCCCGTATGTCTTAATAACAGCAAGCAACATCTTGGAAAACTTAAGTGACTTTGTCAAATGCTGTGACTGTTGCTCCAACACACATACAAAGCTTTCAAAGAAATCCTCATTAATTTCTGGTTTTAAATCAATTAACATCTGAACAACAGAAACAGTGCTCTCTGTCCACGAAAAAGGCAAACCTTCAACATCTGACTTGACTTAGAAAATCAACTGCATCAAATAAATTCTGGTGTCTTCAGTGAGACATTCTTTGATTACGTTATTTACGAGGTCCACTTGTGGAGTGTCCAAATTTGATTGCTGGACCAGTGTTAAAATGACACCATCACAAAATGCTCTTGAATGTTTTTAGCAAACTGATTGACTGCAGCAAAGAGGACTCTTGAAGCATTTTGCTTTAGCTGTTGAATTTTAGGTAAGAGACAATGAACAGCAAAAACAACTGCATTGCTAAAGCTTGGTTCACTTGACAAAGAAACAAACTGTTGACACAGAGAAATTGCAAAAGATTCCTCCAGGTTTTTCAGGTTTAACTGAGCACAGATATGTCTTAACTCATCAGGGCTACTTGTTGAAAATACCTCAAGTTCATCATGCAAATTGAATTCATTAGTCTCTGAGTTCTGAAGTAAGTTTTTTAGAGCATTGACTTTTAGCTGAAGAACATCAGGTAGCTTTGACTCAGCTGAAACATTATTTTCGATGATCAAAAGCTCTGGAATATTCTCAGTGCTCATAATGATAGACTGTTCTCTATCAATTTCAGTCTTGGTGACTGAATGTTCTGGAATATTCTCAAAGCTGAAATTCAAGTTTTCTTCAACATTTTGTTCTAGGACGTCTTCCTTTTCAATGAAGAGTCGAGGCTGTGTTCCAGCTTCCAGTAGGAGGAGAGCTACTTCCTGATGAAATGAACTTCGCTGCAGCGAAACTAGCCTGCGTATCATGGCGGTTTTGTCGAGCCGGGCGCACGAGCGGCGCAGCCGCGAGAAAAATAAAAGAAGCACTGCCACAGTTTTCAGTTTGAAGATAAATACTTCAGTATATAAATATTGCAAATATTAATAAACTGTCATTTCTTCAAGTAACAGTCATGAAAGTTACACTTGTCACTTTTTTACTGGATACTAAATATGAGACTTTTGCAAACAAAAGGGAATGAAACATTGACCCAAGACCACTTTTACAGGGTAAACAACAAGTTGTCCTTGTCCTTCTGATTGCAGCTGTTAATAGCTTTCGTATTAACAAGTGTTTACATTAACTCAGGTGTAGATTCAGTCTAATAAAGCATCTGGATCTGGTAAATGATCTTCAAAATCAGTATAATCACACAAAAGCAATTCTTCCAGTCCAGTACCAAACTCTTCACAGAAACTGTTTGTTGGATCAGTTAAGTTAGACTCATCAATGTCACTGAATATTTCATTTAAAATTTCCAGAATGTTAAGAGCATGTTTTTTTGAAGAAACAGGCACAGTGGTAGTTATGTCCTCAAGAGTAAACAATTTGTGACAGTTTGCCACACAGTCAGAAACTAGCTCCTTTGAAAAGCCATGGCAATACCCAAATGCAATGCGGAATGGCTCTCCTGCAACTCACAGAGAGCAGCATTCAAAATACTTCTCTCCTCATCACTTACATTTCTACATTTGGTTGGTACTATTGTTGATGGAGCTGATTTCCTCTCAAATGGCTTGACTGATTCGGAACAACCATTTGAACCACCACAAACACAGGAAACTGCATAAAAGTTACAGCAGTCATGAGATGGAGACAAACTTGCAATCTCTGGATCAAATGTCTTGTAGCTTGCTATACGGTAGCAACCACTTGTTTTCAAAAAGTCACGCACATCTTCCTCACAGTGTGCCAACTGCTGACCATAAAAATATAATACCACGTCTGAAGACAGGCCATCTCTTCCAGCCCTACCTGCTTCTTAATGAAAATCAAGAAGGCTTCTCGCAGGACCATACATTATAACATAAGGAACATCAGGAAAATTTACTCCCATACTGAGGGCTGTAGTAGCGATGGCAATACGCTTTAGTCCATTGTTTTTAAATGAATTTAATAACCTGTCTTTGTACTCTTTATGAGAAAGTGACTGAAATATAGCAATCAAACAATTTTTGGGCTGCCGTGATGAGCTTGGATGGAAAGCTTAATCTCCAAGTGACATCATCAGGTAGTTGAAAACACTTGCAATGGAGTACATGGTGTCACAGAACACAATGATTTTTGGAGTTTCCTTGCCATTTGTCTTTATCATTTCAACAATCCAATCAAGTTGCTTTAACATATCAATTCTTCCAACTTTGTTGATAGATAGTTGCAGATTGCATCTGTTTGGGCTGACAAACAACTTGACAGGATCCTTCATGGCAAGCTCTTTGATAACCGTCTTCTCAGTTTCCTTGTCTGCAGTCCCAGTGAGAGCCAACAAGGGAATTCCTACAATAAAACAGAATAATAATTAATATATTACAATACTAACTACAGGACAAAGGACTGAAGTCTTGTGGCGAGTTCCAGAAGCTTAAGGTTTACAGGGTACATGTGAGACTGGTCAAATTTTCAAGTAGGTTTTCTGCATGTTGCAATTTCATCATTTAAATTAGCAATTGGTTGTTGTACATGAAATGATAGCACGAATAAGTCTACAACTTTCTTACACTTAAATCATTACCCTTCTAAAGCCCTTAAATGCAGCAGGTTTTCATTTATATGATACACTGTATTATTCTTTTCTGTTTTGGCCGCAATGTATGTGAATGAATACCATTAAACAAGGCCAAGCTTTAAACATCGAATACCAGAAACTAAAAATACGACCGATCGAGGGTCTACTTACTGATTCAGCTCCTGCACAAGGAAGCAGCACTTGTCTCCCTTCAAATCAGGCTCGTGTCCGACAGAAGACTGAGAAGACATCAGCGCAAGACTTATCGAAAGTATCAGAAGACACTCTTCAGCCTATGGAAAGCCTATGAAGACGGTCAGAACAGCTGCTAGGGGCATGCTCTCATTTAGTTAATCCGCTGTAAGTCGTATCCGTAAGTTTAAGATTATAAGAATTTGTATTTCAAGGGTTCGAATTGCAACCTAATTTACCTTAAGTTTAACATTAGACTTTGTTAAAGTAGATTCGAATCGCAAACTTATTTATCTTAAGTTTGATATTAGACTTTGTTTAAGTATATTCCAATCGCGAACTTATTTCACTTAAGTTAATATAAGAATTTGTTTTTCAAGTTTGACATTAGAATTTTTAGCAGTAGATTTCTGATAGATTCTAATCGCGATCTCAATTAGCTTTAGTTAATAAAAGAATTTGAATTTGCTCAAACCGCAACCTAATTTAGCTTAAGTTTAACATTAGACTTTGTTGAAGTAGTTTCGAATCGCACACTTATTTAGAATTTTAGCTTAAGTTTGACTTTAGACTTTGTTTAAGTATATTCCAATCGCGAACTTACTTAATTCTCTTTAGCTTTAGTTAAGATAAGAATTTGCTTTTCAAGGGGCGGGAGTCACTCGGACAACCAACAAGTCCCCGCCTGTAATTCGCTTTAGGTTTAGTTAAGAATTTGTTTCTCAAGGGGCGGGAGTCACTCGGACAACCCACACGTCCCCGCCTATAATTCGCTTTAGCTTTAGTTAAGAATTTGTTTCTCAAGGGGCGGGAGTCACTCGGACAACCCACACGTCCCCGGCTGTAATTGCTTAGCAATAAACATGATTGTAAAGGTATGCCGTTTACGTCATAACTACGCTTAGCAACCATGTTATGGTTCTTCAGCACGTGCTTTGGAACTTCCTTCAAAACAGAAAGGCAGGGCATATATTTCAACGAAAACAGTAAGAGTTGTAGAAATTATTCAGGGGTTTGTTGTTAGGATTACAGTCTTCTTAAAGTTTAAGATTCGAAGATATTTTAAATCGGGTAATTGAAGTTCGTTTACACATTGGGGGCTAATCGTCTAGATAGTGGGGGCTAATTGTCTGTATACTGGGGGCTAGTTGTCGGGGGCGAATTGTCTGGGGGGCAAACTGTCTGACATTCGTAAAATTAAGTAGGTTCATAAAATACCGGCTAACATAATGATAAGTTGTGTAGGATTTCATAATAGTTTTCTTGCATATCTGCTGTATTGTTTCGGATTGTTTGATGTAGTGTTAAAGATGCGAACGACACCATGTAACTTAAATTATTTTCTTACCGTCTTTGAACATTGACCGAAGAATAGCTAACTTTCCATACGCTCCACGGAACACTTGAACAGGTTTCGCACCTTTGCTTTGCTTTTTGCTAGCCAAATAATGAAAGGATTGACAAAATATAAGCTTATGAGAGACCACGAACTATATTGTAAACATGAGACCCACAAGGACGGACGTAAACTACGACGAATTGAAAGAATCTCACCTTTTTCCTGTCCAAGCTTCAACTGTGTGTGCTTCGTCGACCACAATCGCCGACACGGCTCGATGTAGAGCACTGTCTTTTTTTAAAGCGGCAAGGAACGCCTTTTCTAACACCGTCTCGGCGGAGCAATAGAGAAATTGCGGTGGACTCTCTCGAACCACATTCAGTGCTTCCGTCGTAAGTTCCATTGCCGTGCAGTTCAGCGACAACATTTCGGAAATCTGGTCGTCTATAATACTTTTCAACGGGGCAATCACAATCACACACGTTTTCGATGAAGAGATTTCATTGTTTATGGCCGTTTCCTGCTCTGGCTTTAAGACAACTGCACTATTTTCCCGACGAATATTCAAGAGCGACAACGCTTTAGTTAATGCTTCTGCCATATTTTGATTTTGTTTTGACGAGAAGATTTGTTCAATCTCTCGAAACTCTCCCAAGGGAAATTACCAAAATATTTGATTGACGGGCGAGCATTCTGAACCAATCGGAACGATCCGTTCGCTGGCATACGGACCGACTCAAAAAAGCCCCCGGTCCGTGTTAACCGTCCGTGCAGGCGGTTTTTCAGTTGCTCCCGCCCCAATCTCCTCGCGGTTTTTCTGCCCTCGCGCGCTTTTATTACTTAGCAACCAAAACCGCCATGCTACGCAGGCTACAGCGAAACTATTTCTGTCGTATTTTTTATCCTGAAAAATATGTCTTCGCGAAGGCAATGAACCCATTTTTTGTTAAACATAGGAGCTAATAAGTCATTCTCTTAACACACATGCTTTTTTGTTTTGGATTTTAGGTGGTTTCACTCGAATGTTTCTGGTTATGATGCAGAAAAGTTGTTGTTAGGGAGAGGTTTGCATGGCAGCTATCTTGTTCGTCCAAGCAAGAGTAATCCTGGGGACTTTACGCTGTCACTTAGGTAAGTGCAACAGGATTATAAGTAAGACAATCGTGGTCTAAGAAAAAAAGGTTAAAAATTTACTTCCTCTTTTCGCCATCGCTTGGTGTTGCGTTTAAGCGGGTTAGATGAGTTGAGCTGGAAGAGAGTGGCGCTTGAATTGGTCACTGATTATGATCGATATAGAATTTCCTTCCCTGAGGGTGATTTTTTTCTTAAAAAATTGGATAACATTGAAGAGGTTTCTCATCCTTGCATTTGCCGATTTGCGTGAGAGGTAAGCCAAATTTTAAGGTAGAAGGCTGATAGAAAATCAACTATTTACTGAAGTGACATTTATGTGCGTATGCTCATTTTGCATTTTCATCAAGAGGCAGTTAAGACCAGATGTCGGTAGATCAATTTTAAAGCCAATTGACGATAATCGAAATGCAAATTTAGTACTGTTTCAATTTGATCAGTGCTGTAAGCGTTGTGAAAGTTTGATTTTGAACCGACTATTCGATCGGGAACTTCCGAAAAATATTGTGTTCCTGGAAAGCTTCTGTGCACACAAAAAATATTATCCAAATAATCTCTTACGCTAATCCTAACTTTGTTCTCCGTTTTATGTTATCTTCCTCAACATCTTCCCTTTAAAACACCTACGCATTGATGTCAGTTCTAAGGATCATATGTGTGACCGAGCCGCGCGAGTAAGGGAGGTAGCGAATGACAACCAATAAAAGACAAAATGCATACAAAACAAACATGAATTTAATGGCCAATTAGTGGAAAAGAAATACAATAGACTCAAACACTAGGAAAACGAATAAAGCAACAAAAAGGGAAAGAAAAGGGGCGATGAAAAGGGCAATAGCGTAAAAGGAAACAACGATGCTAAAAATTACTAAGACGGCTAAACAATACAACTAAGGGAACAAAACTACACTAAAATGTGAAAAGTAAACAAAACACGCTATTAAAGAAACATGCTAGGTCAAACACTAGGAAAACGAATAAAGCAACAAAAAGGGAAAGAAAAGGGGCGATGAAAAGGGCAATAGCGTAAAAGGAAACAACGACGCTAAAAATTACTAAGACGGCTAAACAATACAACTAAGGGAACAAAACTACACTAAAATGTAAAAAGTAAACAAAACACGCTATTAAAGAAACATGCTAGGTCACGAAAGAAGAACAAGCGTGACAAGTAGCACGTGACTCTTGTCAAGAGCCATATGATACAAAGACAAGAAAACAGAAGCTAAACGAGGTCAAACGGAAGACACTGAAAGGTTGTGATCTACGATCTCGCATAAAACGGTGGCAAAACTAAGCAAAACACTAAGCTAAAGGAATAACAACGGCTAAGAAACTAAAGGATGATGATTTTAGAGCGAAAGTGCTCGATACAACAGCGGAAAACAACAAAACCAAGAAACGATGAAATCTACAACACGAAAGTAATAGTACGGTCGCTGGTAGACTACGAGCAGTCTCTCTTTTTTCTGTAGTCGGTCGAGCAAAACGTGAGACACGCGCGTGACTGATGGCGCGAGACAAGAGCAGTCTCTCTTTTTTCTGTAGTCGGTCGAGCAAAACGTGAGACACGCAAGTGGCCACGCGCGTGACTGATGGCGCGAGACAAGAGAGGCACGAAAAAATAGAGACTACCCGCAAAGCCAGAGAGAATGGTCTTTCACGGTCTAGTGATTTTTTGGCGTCAAATCTTTAGTGTTGACAGGCCAGGCACGTGGAACGTGACTTTAGAGTTGGCTTGAACAACAGATGTTTTTCTAT